GCCGTGAGCCAGAGCAAGTACCACGCGAGCCGGTGCTGGTCCAGCTGGGGCTCGCCGCCCAGCGCCTCCCCGCCCCATATGGACCTCTTGGTCACGTTGGCGCCGTGGGCGACCGCAGACCGCCTCTCGGCGAGCTCCGCGAGCGTGAAGCCCGAGTACCTGCCCGCCTTGATCTGCTCGATGCCCTTCGGGGGGTCGTCGACGCTGAGGCCGTCCGCGTCCTGTTCGAGGTTTGCCCGGCACGCCACGCAGACCTCGTCGTCGCCCCTGTCGAGCTCCTCGGCCTCCTCCGCGATCCGCTCCTCCTCGGAATCGCCGACCTCGAGCTCCTTCTCCCCATCGGAGTCGGGCACCTTGGTCTCCTCCGCCACGCGCCTGGGCGCAGAAGCTGCCGAGCTCGACGAGCCTGTCGCCCTGCGTAGCCTGGATGGAGCGGGGACGCTAGCTCCAGCGCCAGGATGGCCGAGTCTGCCTTGCCGCGTTCTCCCTCGCTGGAATGCGCTCCAGACTCTCTGCCCTCTCGGCGTGTAGAGCAGCGAACACATCAGGAACCTCCAAAGCCCCTGCCCGTCCTTTCGTCCACACCTCGGTCGATACGCCTTGACAACGTGGATGCCGTTCGGGTCGCACATGTGGCACGCGAGATACCGCGTAATCCCGTTGGCGCCCTTTTGCAGCCTCGGGTGCGCGTCGACCGCGTGCTGGCAGGGATACTCCATGACTGGCAATGGTACGTGGCTCCGCCTCGCAGGCGGCTCGTAGTAGACGTCAACCGTCGCCCTTCTCGAATTTGTCTTCGGCTTGGGCTTGGGCTTCGCCTTCGGTAGTGCCCCAAGCCGTCCACTCGATGTTGCCACGAACACTTCTGCGATCCTGACCTCGCCGCCATTGTTATTGCCGTCGTAGTCGGTCACGCTGAAGTATCTACTCTTCGGCCTGTCCGAGGGAGGTGGCGACGATCTTGATGACTTCGGGCAGTTGGGGTCTCCATGCCAATGTCCGATCTGCCCGCAGCTCGCACACCTACTCGTCCGCTTCAGCTTCTCGATGCGGGCGCGTCGCTCTGGGTTCTCGCCTGGATCCCTCCTGGCTTGTCCCGTCGGCCCGTCGGCTTGTCCCTCGAATTCGCCAACTGAGATTGATCTCAGCGCCACGCCCACGGCCTCGGCCACGTCCGCCGCCCTTGCCGTGGAACCTCTGCTTGTGCTGCACGATGGCCGCGAAGCTCTCGAGCGCCTCGTCGTCCATCTGGTCGATCTCCTCGAGCGTCGCCTCGTCCTCGCCACGGTAGACCGCCGCGTAGTCGCTTCCCGCAGGTGACTGGGCGCCTGGGCCAGCGGAGTCTGCGTCGTCATCGTCGTACTCGTACTCTCCCTCTTCGTCTATGCCAGCCTGCCACGCTGACTTGTTTTGCTGGTGTCCATGATGATGCCGCCGTTGACCGAACCGTCGGGATCGAGGGTCCGGCCTCTGGTCATTCTTGCCCTTCCACTCCCGCTCGTGGATGTTGGGATGCTGCATGCGAAGCGCCTTGCCGAAGGCCTCCTTGTCATACTTGTTGCCAGCGCTGCTAACGATGCTGGCGTGGTCGGACTTCTCGAGCCCTCAGAACTTGAAGAGAAGCTGAGCCTGCAAGTCATTGCTGATGCTCGTATCCTCGCTGACCTTCTTAAGGTCGTCGAATGCCTTCGAGCGCTTGGTGATGTACTCCTGCATGCTCTCGCCAGGTGCCCTCCAGACTGCCTTGTCGTACAGCGCGCCGTCGAACAACTCAGCTTCACGAACGGGTCTCTCCTTCGGCACAGACTCGCCTAGGGTCGTGAGCAACAGCTCCAGTCCCTCGATGGTCGCTTCTTCTTCTTCTTCTTCTTCTTCTTCTTCTCGTAGCTGACGCCGCCCTTGCCACCGCTCTCGATCTTCTCGATCTCGACGGTTAGCAGCTGCTGGTGCGAGAGCGATCGGACGGCGTCGTAGGCAGTGCCTGAGAGTCCGTTCCTGAAGTTGGCTGGCGTCGCGATCTGCTTTTCGTCACCCATACGTCCATAGAAAGCGTCTTGGGCCCTCTCTTGGTACTCCTCGAAGAGCGCAGGAGCTCCATCGTAAAGCGGGATGTCCTTCTCGAGCTCCAGCTTTGACACCCTTGACATGGTTGCTGGTGCACGCGGCCCTGGGCCGCTGCCGTTGAATGAAATAGGAGTCGCAGTGGTACTGCTGCACACCGCGCGTAGACACGGAGCTGCCGGGAAGATGCACACCACGTGGAGCCACGCAGCTGCCGGAGTGCCAGGCACCGCCCAGGTGGTCCAGCGGGTGCGGGCTCGCCTTCCCCCGCAAGGCCGGCCTGCTCCCTGCAGGCTGGCGCGCAGCCCCCGCCAACAGGGCGCGCCACGCAGACCTCCGCGCCGTCGCTGCGGAGGCGGGGGCCGACCGGGGCGAGTCGGCCAGCTCCGCTACCATCTGGTGGCGGGCCGCCGCCCGCCGGGATCTTTCAGATGTTCTGCAACTCCTCCTCTTGAACCTCCTCCTCCTCCTCCTCGTCCTCGTCCTCGTCCTCGTCCTCCTCCCCCTCCTCTTTTTCTTCCTCCTCCTCCTCCTCCTCCTCCTGTCGAGAAGTCTTTGGGGCTCGGAGTACGGCGTGTCGGCATGGTATGCCTCGCTTGTCTAGGCCTCGGGTGTATGCGCGTACGCGTTTCTTGGGAGAGGTCGTGGAGCCTTCATCTCTGAGATGTACGCTGTGTCCCTTTGTTGCTCAAGACTCGACCTATCGGCACTTCACGATCACCTCGTCACCCACGTCCCGCCGCACACCCATGGAGCTGGACGAGGTGAGTTGGGCGATCAAGCGCGGTCCTGGAAGTTTTGCGGTGGGAGATCAACGGCGCCGCCGACTGATAGAGGAAGCTGCGGGAGAGGGAGGAGGACGTCAACAGCAGCTAGAGCGTTTAGTGAAGGTGCTGGCGGCCCTGGGCTTTGACGCAAGCGGCCGAGCTGCGAGATCTCATCGCCGCAGTGTATCATACTTTCCTGGTGCCAAGCGGGTCGGTCATCGCCAAAGCCATGGTGGAAGCAGGAGTAGACTATCACAAGCAGGTCAAAGCCACCAAGGGTGCCGACCAGAGCACGATCCTTGGCCCGCCGTTCCTGCACGTGTTCAGAGCAATGATCAAAGCTTGCTACAGTATCGAGGACATCGGCGAGCAGCGGCTCGGAGTCATCAAGACCTTCTGGGAGACGACGATCATGAAGGAGTCGCTCGAATCGGTGGCGCAGATGATCCGCCATTGCCGCTGTCGTTCGACCAAGAAGAAGGAGGGGGGCACGGAGTTCGTGAGGATCACGCTGTGCTTCGCCACGGAGTGGGCCGCCCTCGAGAGCGCAGTGTTGGCCGCGCTGTACCGCACGTGGGCCGTGAAGAAGGTGGGCCCGCCGCCACGCGGCCCGTTCGAGCGGGAGGCAGCCAAGCTCGTGGTGGAGCTGCAATAGGACGCCCGCCTGCCGCCAGGACGGAGGAGAGATGTGCTATGAGGACTGAGGCCACTAGTTTGTTTCCTGGAAGTACAAGTTTAGGGCAAGAAGGTTTGAGGCCGTCTTTTTTCATGAAGCTGAGATTTTTAGGCTTGCTCGGAGGCTTGAGATTTGTTATGTGAGAATGGCGGAGCTTCTCCGAGCGGGCCGCCTGGACCCTGGCCTGGCGTTGTCTTTCTTGAGGGAGAGGGAGGGGGCGTCGGTTCGGTCGCGGGAGAGCGGGGGGGGGGGGGCGGAAGATGTCTCGACAGTCGGTGCGTGCTATCTGGCCCGCGAGTGGGCGCTCCACGGACCTCGGCGCCAGCAGGCCAGATCCCGATTCTCACGGGACAGTGGTCTGCGCTGGCGCCGAAACGGCTCACGAGAGCATCATCGGCAGAGAATGTTATCGTGCTCGCCTCTCTCTTACAGTTCAAGTGGACAGTAACCTGCTGCTGCTGCCAATGATGTCGTATCGTATCGTATCGTATCCTCCTCCTCCTCCTCCTCCTCCTCCTCCTCCTCCTCCTCCTCCTCCTCCCCCTGCTTCTCCCCCTACTTCCCCCCCCTCCTTCTCCCACCGCTGTCTGCCTCGAGATTCGAGGTCTGGTTCTTTGTTAATTGTCTTTTCGCCACTTGTTTTTTGCTGTTTCTCTTTGTGGGCCTTAGGGGGCGTTCTCGTAGCCACGGCTGGCTTCCCTCCTCCAGTTCTCGCCCATTTCCCATCCTCTGTCTTCTCGTGTGGCTCCCTTATCTTTTATCCTAACTTCTAGCGTCTCGTCCACCTCTCACATTCCCTCCTCTCCTCCTCTATCTTCTCGTTCGGTTACACATATGTATGTCTCTCTCTCTCTCTCTCTCTCTCTATATATATATATATCCGCCCTCCAGTTCTAGACGCTTCGCGTAACCCCACCAGCCCATCCAGACACGATGCCCGGGCACATTGACCTGATCAGGGATTGTGAGAAACATGCCGTGACATAGCGGGCAAGGAAATCCGTCATACCCCAAGAGGGGGCGCATGGAGGATGATGGAGGATGGAGGATGGATGGGGGGAGGGTGGAGGATGAAGGATGAAGGATGGAGGATGGAGGGTGGAGGGTGGAGGATGAAGGATGGAGGATGGAGGATGGAGGGTGGAGGATGGAGGATGGAGGAGGAGGAGGAGGAGGAGGAGGAGGAGGAGGAGGAGGAGGAGGAGGAGGAGGAGGAGGAGGAGGAGGAGGAGGAGGAGGAGGACGGAGGAGGAGGAGGAGGAGGAGGAGGAGGAGGAGGAGGAGGAGGAAAAGGAGGAGGAGGGGGAGAAGGATGAGGAGGAGGAGGAGGAGGTTCAGAAGGGGGATGTTCAGGAGGAGGAGGAGGAGGAGGAGGAGGAGGAGGAGGAGGAGGAGGAGGAGGAGGAGGTGGATGGAGGAGGGGGGAGTCCTCACCTTCCCCCCCCTGGCCGGCGCCGGCTGGCGGGCGGCGGGTGGTGGGGCCACCGTGCGGGGAGGCTGGTGACCAGCTGCTCCGGGAGTTGGCGCCTGCGCTGCGGGAGCACCTGCGAGACGAGGGCGTGGACGTCAGGATCGTCTTGTTGCCAGTGTGGTTTAAACGACTCCCTCGAGTCATGAAAAAGTCATGGCGGGATATTTTTGGGTATTTTCGACCTCTGGGGGCCCTCACTGGGCCTCGGGACCGTCAAAGAAGGACTCAGGACGAGAAACCAGTCCTGGGGAATGTGTCGAGACCTCTGGGGTCGACGTTAGGAAAAAACGAAACATGATGTCAAGGGTCAGGGTCTTTAGTCAGTATCGTGTAAACGATCTCTATCCCCATCTCCATCCCCATCCCGATTCCCAGCATCCCACCACCCCAGATGTGGATATGTCCCTCGAAACATTTCCCCATCTAGGAGGGTGAATCGCCCAGGTCGCTCCCGTGGGAATAGCAAATCGGTCAAACGATGCCCGATGCCCATAGGAAGCCGTGGGTTCGCTAGGGATCGTTTTTTTTCGGCGATGGCCCGGGCTATCGAGGAATGGGTTTGGGAAGGGGAGGTGCCGGCCGATCACCTGATCTTTTCGCCCTGGGCCACGTGTGCCCGCGCGCGCACCTCTACTGCGCACCGCCTTCGGACCTGCGCAAACGACAGGGGCAGCTCATCGAAGCGGGGAGGCGGGCCCGCTAACCCGGGATGGCACTGGGGCAATCTGGCCGATGCCCCAGGTTCCAGCTGAGCCAGCTCTGATGGGCCTGTTTTCCACCACCACCACCATAAGTTGGAGGGGGAGGAGGAAAGGGAGGAGGAGGAGGAGGAAAGGGAGGAGGAGGAGGAGGAGGAGGAGGAGAGGACCCCCTCCCCCTCCAACTTATGGTGGTGGTGGTGGAAAACACGCCCATCAAGCTCGCTTCTGGCTGTTGTCTTGGGTGCGCGGGATGCGGAAAGCCAAACATAAAAAAGAGAAAGCCAGGTTGCTGCCAGACCCTCAAACAAACACTCTCCCAGGGATGGGTTTCTCCCCAAACGACCCAAGCCCTTGTGAAACTCTCCAGGAACTCTACGAAAAGCATCCCGGAACCCTTCGGGGAGGGTCTTTGGAAGGTTTCGGGAAGGTTTCGGCCGTTTCGGGGGAAAATCAGTCCCCAGCTGACCCTGGACTTCTAATCTTAAGCCTCCCAGATGGGGTTGGAGCAGATGGGATCGGCGCATCGCGCATCGGCGATGCGGCTCCATGTGGAGCCCGATTCTCTCCACGCCGACGTCGTCGATGCATCGCCAGCCGATGCATCGCCAGCGTCGCTGATGCTTCGGGGATGCGGCGCGATCTTCCGACCCCGATTAGGAGGCCTCTCCTCTACAGTGCCGTTTTTAATACATGCTCCGCGTGCGGATCATGTATAACCCATGCAGGGTTTTAGTTTTGAAAACAACGATGAGTTCATGCATACATTTATGCATGCACTAATTCTGTATTAGAAATCCTATACTTTGAAACAAATCCACTGTATTACAAACTGCCCTCTACCTTCGTGGGCGGGAAGCCGGGCCGCGAACCCATGGACGCGGGGCGCTTTTTCTCGCGGTGGCCCCCCGCGCGGAGCGCCTCCTTCCGACCGCGCGTCCACGGGCCCGCGCCCCGGAGTCCAGACCGCGAGGGCGCCGACACGGCTGTGCCCTCGCTGCTCGCGGGAGGCGCCGCGGGCGGCGCGCGGCGGTGGGCAGAGCAGGGGGGGGCCCCGGGCGTCCAGCGAGCCCGAGCAACATCGGGACGGCAGGTTCTTCGCCGCTCTGGGGCCCTCCAGAGGCCGGCTTCTGGGCTCCGGGACGCTCAAGATTGCTCCGGAAGAGGAGCCTGCCAGGGGAAGGGGTCGAGAGGTCCGAGTGGCCATGCCTCGAGAGGGTCGAGTCGCCGGATGTCTGGAGGTGGCCTCCCGTCAGAGGGGAGTGGCGTGCTGATTCCGATGCCCTCTTTGTCAACTTTGCCCTTGCATCTTGCGCCCGGGGCCCAAGGGTCCCGCATCCTTGCGTCGTTCTTCTGGTGGTTGTGTGGTGCACGGGGGAGGGGCAGGGATGGATTAATGTTGAGATGTGGTGGAACGTCGCGCAGGAGGAGAGGCCAGGAGGGAAGAGCGGGGGGAGGCGAACGGGGCTAGAGGCTAGAAGAGGGCGACGGCAAGGGGGTCGGCAAATCGTGGGGCGCCAACTCGGTGTGCCGATCTCGCGATCGCACGATCGAGTGGTCGCCGATGCCACGAGCGACCGATCGCATGATTGACCTCCAGCGTCGTCGTCATGACAGGGGCCAGGGGGGCGACACCGCTGTCCACATGTCGGCGCAGTTGTGGCACCACTCGATCGAGGCAGGGCCACGCAAAGGTGCGAATGAACGGGAGCAAGACATCAGCAGTAATGTTGGGGCGGCGTGGGAAGCGACCCGTGTCCCCAGCGTTCTGAGCTTGGAGCGGAGGAGGAGGAGGAGGAGGAGGAGGAGGAGGAGGAGGAGGAGGAGGAGGAGGAGAAATGAGAAATGAGAAATGCGCTATCACGGAGTGATCCATCCGAAACTACCTCGCTGCCCTTGCTGCCTGCTGGGCACGAGTCAGGGCCTTCGGCCATTCGCCACGCTTGATTCGTCGAAGATATTCCCTCCGAGTATCTGTGAGCTGACGAGGCTTACAAAGGCCCTGGAGACCTGGACTATTATGCTCACTACTATAGCAACCGCAACTACTGCAGAACCATATGCCGAGGATGCTATGAAATGCCATAAGATGTGTGTCATGCACCCAGCCCCCACCTATATGTAAGTGCTGACCGACAGGGAGGTGGATAACATGAGCATCCCCAGGAGTGAGCAGAAAGCACGGGGACTGACGCCACCTGAACAAGGCCGCGTCTGTGGCAGATCCCCGACACCGACGGCACCTCTTCCCGCTCTCGTCCAGAGCGTGGTCCGTCTCGAACACAGTGACAACATTGACTGATGGCGGAGGGGGAGGGGGAGGAGGAAGAGAAGGCCCCGCCTGTGTCGAACTCCTCGAGGTGGGGGGCTTCGAAGCAGCTGCAGCGTTCAGGGCCTCAAGGCCCGCGCGGAGGAGGCGACGCCTGAGGAACAGGGTGTCTCTTTCCACCGTCCAGACCTTCGCTCGCAGAGCCTCTGGGAGTCGAGCGGACTTCGCGGCCTCTCCAGCCAGTACGTCCGCCACCGCATTGCCAACCGTGAGAAACAGAGGTACCTTCTTTTCTAATTCTTCTTCTGCCGTCAAATGGGATGCAACCTGGAGAACCACAATCTGTGACGTGTCACGGTCCTGGTCTCTGAGCTGCTTCCTGATCATGTCCCAGATCCCCATGTTGCCCCCCCGATGGTTCTAGGTAGAGCCCAGCATACCATCCGTCGGCGACGGCAGAGTTATCTGTAACGTATATCAGGGATCCCGTACTGCACGTAATGGCCAGAAGGGGCCCGTAAAGTTCCCCGCGAGGTACTGTTTGCCTACGCCCAGGAAGAAGTCCAAGGATAGCAGAGCGTACGCTTGGGGGACTGTATGAGCTCATATTGGCGACTGCGCTGCCGATGCGGCGAAAGCGAGGTTCGCGTGCATCAGGCCCGCCACTGGCATCACCGAAAACCACAAGCGGCCTATCTTCACGCCCACGGCCCAAAAAGGAACCATGCAACTGCTCGTCATTAGTACCATTGAAGAAAGTCCAAGAGGGCACGTCCGAAGGTGGGGGGGGGGGGTAGCCGTCCAAGCCTTCGGGATCATGCCTCTGAGCCAGTAGCAAGCCTCGCTCTCGTGCAACGTCTGAGCGCGCGGGGCCAGGTCGTCGGAATCGACAAAGGCCTTCGCACTCCTATTGCACGCGCAAGTCCAGAAGCGGTGAAACGCTGTCTCAGCACCGTCGTGGCACCGATGGCATTGAACATCTATCTTGGTTCTGGTCTCGTCGCCGACTCGCTGCCGTGGCCAGAAACCCCCTGTAGCTATGTTGACCATGACCTCCGCGAGCCTATGGCCGTTCTTGCACAAGCGGAGACCCTGGATGAACTTACGGTAGCTATAATTGTCGACACCGTCGGCCATCCCCTCCCCGCAATAGTGAATAGACGCGCGAGACCAGCAGCTAGCTTGAAATGCGGATTCAAAATCGTCAAGAATGTCTGAGTAGTCCTCAAAGCCCGAGAGGTCGGACTCCGAAAACCTCCACGTGAAATCAGGGGTGTCCCAGAGGTTCGGCGCCTGCGGGTCCCAGCCAGCCTCCAGAAGGTATCCAATAATGGCCGCTATGGGCCCCCTGATCTGCCGAGAAACCTGCGACGGCGATATGCTACGAAGTTGTTCGACGATACGGGGCCACACCAAATTAACCATAGGCCGAATAGCTGGAGTACTGAACCAGACAGACAGCCATGAACGAAGAGCATCTCTAGGAAACTTAACTCCTGGATCTTGCCCTGGAACTTTGAGATCGAGAAGAGTGGTGAGGCATCTCCCTTTGGCCTTAGAACCCAAAGAGGCCCCAAGACGACGACGAAACTGCTGGCGATAACATCCAAACGCTCCGTGCACTTGGTGGCCGTACGATCCTGCAGCCTGGGCGCCAGCTCTCTCTAGCCGACCTGTCACAAGGTATTGTTTGGACGCGCGGGCAAAATGTCGAATCTTGGCATTCATACCTCTGGCTTTCGCCTGCCGCTTGTATCGTGCCTGCCTAGCTGGCCGACCGTTCCCAAGGTCCACGCCGAGATACGGGGCTTGCCGTACAGCAGATACACTGATGCCTACCTTCTGCAGCTGCCGTGAGACAAAACGCCCGTCTGCGGGTCTGGAACACATCAGCACACTTTTAGGCGACGCCTTGAGACCAACCTCGCCGAGCTTGTTGCATGTATCCCGAAGAACGCGAAACAGTTGAGCTCTGACAATGCGACGTGACCCAAGGACCCGTTGAGAAAGATCGTCAATCCAGATCCGCATCGACATGCCCACGTGGGCCGTCGAAATCTGCTGGAGAATAACATATACCATGCAACGTGCAAAGCGGGTGCCTCCTCGTAATCCTTGCACGATACTTCGCG